ACGTTTCAGCACAAAAAAAGAAACTGTCCAGATGACCTGACTGAAAAATGTTGGATTGTATACCTGGATTATTGAGCATGGACTTTGTCACATTAAGGAATATTTAAACTCTATTCTACATTTATTTAATGTAATCACAATATCTGAAACATGGCTGATTACATAAAAGGGAACAGATTTTTACTTAGATGGAAACGAATTCAGATACATGAACAGAAAAAATAAAGGTGGTGACCCAGAGTGATCATGGACCTCTTGGCTGCATCTCTGATCAGTCTTCTCCTTGTTCCAGATGTAGATGAACATATACTGAGATATATTCATAAATTAAACTGATTCATTCATTTTTCTGGACTGAATAATATCGTGCATTGAATTTAATAAAATGTAACGTGAGGTGTTAATTTTCTTTGACCCATCAAATGAATGTGGTCATTTATTAACAGAATCAAAGTTTAACATCAAACATTTACATTAATTTGGCAAGATTGATTTCAACAACAACATAATTAATTAGCAAGTTTTACAAGGAGGAAACCATACGGCCATGGTTTCCCCATTTCAAACATTATAACAGACATTTCTAAAAATATCTGGAATGATTTGCTAGCAGGATAGAAGAGCTTAAAGATGGGAAAATGAAGTTTAGAGGGAGGGAGATGGTGTGTGAGAGAAAGTGTTGAACAGAACGGCACCCTCCATTCGAACCCAGCTTTCCTCGGTACGCTTCGGTGGTAAACTCGACTCATTACCTCTCTGACGATGAATCAGCGGATACGGAGTTCCAGTTAACGCTACCGGTCCAGCGTCTCCGTAGGATGGCAGAGAACCGTCCGGAGTGGTGGCGGTACTTCATCAACACCAGTTCACCTCACGAGTGGACTCACATGAGTGGAGTCCTTCAGAAGTTCCACTCAGATGTGGAAGATTGCATAATTCCCACGAGACTCAGACAAACTCCGGATCATGTCTGGAACTCCTGTTCTCCCCAGCACTTCTTGTGTTCGGTTTGCTCTCCGAACCGAACTCGACCGGGCTCGACTGCTCTCGACCCAACACGACAGAACGAACTGGTTTGAACTAGGAAGTGCCGACATTTAAAGAGTTCTATTTCCGGTTCATTTGGGAAGTTCCTGATTGGCTGAAATAGCTAATCAGGGGTGTGTTTTTGTGACGTAAGAGGTCACTAGAAGTCAGAAAAACAGAAAATGTTTTGGAACAGATTGAAAATGTTTTAGAGACAGACGAGAGAAATGTTTGGGCGAGTTGGGGGAAAACAGGTGCCAGCTTCTCTATATTACGTCTGAGAGGATTTAAAAACATGACAGTTCGTTCCAACAACTTGTTTTCGACCTTTGACCGACATCACAACTTGCTCATTTCAGACAGAAGATCAGAAAATGCATGAATTACTCCGTAACACATTCCAATTTGATTTCTACTTGAATGAGGATTAAAAATCACTAATACTGTTTCACAGTTGAATTAAAATGAGTAGTTCACTTCAACATTTAAAAATGGTTTGAACTAAACACACTTTGATTATCAAGAAATTTGTAAAATAGTAATGATAATAAAAAAGAGTGTTCTTTCAATTGATCAGTGCAGGACAAGAGAAAGTCTCTGGATGAACTTAATCTTGTGTTTCTGGACTCAAATCAATGAAATACAGTTCTTGTCCCAGGAAGGCCAGATTTGACCTGAGGCTTAGTTCACTACACAGATGAAAGTTTAGAGGGACGGCCGGGTCTTGGTAGATTTGCAGTGGTCTCATACTCCTTCCATTTCAATATGATTGCTTGCACAGTGCTCCTTGGGATGTTTAAAGCTTGGAAAATCTTTTTATATCCAAATCCAGCTTTAAACTTCTCCACAACAGTATCTCGGACCTGCCTGGTGTGTTCCTTGGTCTTCATGATGCTCTCTTGGCTTTGAACAGAACCCTGAGACTATCACAGAGCAGGTGCATTTATACGGAGACTTGATTACACACAGGTGGATTCTATTCATCATCATCAGTCATTTGGGACAACATTGGATCATTCATAGATCCTCACTGAACTTCTGGACTGAGTTTGCTGCACTGAAAGTAAAGGGGCCCAATAATACTGCACGCCCCACTTTTCAGTTTTTTATTTGTTAAAAACGTTTGACACATCCAATAAATTTCATTCCACTTCACGATTGTGTCTCACTTGTTGTTGATTCTTCACAAAAAATTAAAATTTTATATCTTTATGTTTGAAGCCTGAAATGTGGCAAAAGGTTGAAAAGTTCAAGGGGGCCGAATACTTTCGCAAGGCACTGTACTTCAACTATGACATCTGGTAACATCACATGAGACTGATTTTGTAAAACCTTTGGGGATTTGTTTTAATCTGAATGAAGTTTGTTTGTTTACTCCTCGTCAGGCCAATTACAGCTTCCCAGACGGACAAGTTGAATCTCCAGGACTGTTTAGAGCTCGGTAGAGAAGCCCGGGTGAGCCACAGAGTCTGTCTTCACATTATTCAGTGTTTTGTTGGAAGCACCAATTAAGTCTTATGTGGAAAACTCACTACTTTGGATATTTTTGTTTCAGGTAGCCAAAGTGCGAACAATCACCACCAATCCAAACTCTCTGAAGCAGGGGAAAGATGGGCCTCAGCAGCCTGTCCTGCAGGATGGAAGAGAGGACACACTTTGGATCACTGAACTGGAGAAGTACGTGTTGGCCCACTTATATTCTGTGTGTGGTGTGTGTGTGTGTGTGTGTGTGTTCACAGGAAAGTGACATATTATTATGACTGTATATTAAAAGAACACTGATGTTGTTTCGGGAATTCACGTCTGCTGTCAAGCTTGACTAATGTCTTGAATCAGAGCTGTGTTTTGTGCATTTGTAGGACTTTTTGTTTCCTTTCTCTCCCTCTCAGGGACAAATCTGTGCTGACTGTAAGTCGTTGTTTCCCCACGGTGAATGAGTTCCCTCATACCATGGGGCGGCTGTGGCTGAGTGGTTAGAGCAGTCATCCTCCAATGCGAGAGTTGGGGGTTCAATTCCACCAGCAGTCACATGCCGAAGTGTCCCTGGGCAAAACACTGAACCCCTCACAGCCTCTGATGTGTGTCCCACCAGTGTATGAATGTGATAAAGCTCTGATTAGTCTCTTTAGAATGATTTGTTCAATTATCTTTGTAGAGATCTAGTATAGAGCTGTATGAACGGGTCACTGAGGCACAGATTGTTGTAAAGAGCTTTGAGTGTCTTGATAAGACAGAAAGGAGTTATATAAAAACAGTCCATTTAACAAACCAAAGCCACACAAACTGTGAAACTGTGGTCTCACTGCTTTATGTGTTCAAGACAAGGGCGTGTGGGGGACACACTGATGTGTGTAGGTGTGTGTGTGCGCGCGTTAAAAAAAAGTTGTTCACTAATGTACAAAAAAAGCAACATTTCACCTAGATTTCCTTTAATTCCACACATTTAAAACATGTTTCTCACCAAGTTTGTGTAAATTCATCAGTGGGTTTTAAAGACATTTTAACTTTAATACACTTTAACACAGAGCGTCAGATCAGCACTATTTGTCTTTATAGCAAAATAAAAACCATCACCACTGGACTTTTTTACTTGTGTTCAACACTCCTCATCTAAATGATGTTTCTCATGAAGCTTGAGGACAATAAGGTGTGGGGGTTTAAAGACATTTCAACTTTAATGCACCTGAACACACAGAGTCTCTTACACCTGCAGCGTCTTACAGCGTCACAGTTACTGCTAAGCTAACATGCTACAGATGTAGCTCCTCTTTACTCCTAACATGAATACATGTTTATGATCAAACACCCCCCCCCCCCCCCCCCCATCAAGGTGTACAAGAAGAAGCTGGAGAGCAAGCTCTAGCAGAACAATATCAGAGAGGTGTGGTCAGGGATGAGAAAGATCACAGGCTTCAAGCAGAAGGAGGATCAGAAGGATGGAAGCCTGGACAGAGCCAATGAACTGAACACTTTCTTCAATAGGTTCAGTTCAGGAAAAAGCTCAGCACAGCCAAACATACATACCACCCTCCTTTGACCCAAGGCTGTCCTGTCACACCTCAAATATTGTATCTACCACCTCAGTCATGGACCCTTCTTCTTCTACATGTTGGTCTTCAACTAAATCAGAAGATGCTGATACCTCCTTTGCCTCCCCCCTCTGCGTCTCCAGAAGTCAGGTGAGGAAGCAGCTGGAGAGACTGAACCAGAATAAGGCTGCAGGTCCAGATGGTGTCAGTCACAGAGTCCTGATGGTCTGTACAGAGCAGCTCTGTGGGGTTCTGTAGCACCTCTTCAACCTTAGCCTGACCCAGGAGAAGGTTCCAGTGTTGTGGAAAACCTCCTGCCTTGTTCCAGTATCAAAGAAAACTCACCCATCAGTCCTCAATGACTATAGACCTGTTGCCCTGACATCCCACATCATAAGGGTCCTAGAGAGACTTCTGCTGGCCCACCTGACTAAACAAACCAGCACATATCAGGACCCACTGCAGTTTGTTTATCAGCTTGGACTTGGAGTTGAAGATGCCATCATACACCTGCTTCAGCAAACTCACTGTCATCTAGAAAAGGCAGACAGCACTGTGAGAGTCATGTTCTTTGATTTCTCCAGTGCATTTAACACAATCCAGCCTGATTTACTGTCATAAACTCCAGAAGACTCAGGTGGAGGCCTCAACAATCACCTGGATCAAAGACTACCTGACAAACAGACCACAGTTTGTGAGACTGAAGGGTTGTGTGTCCGACCAGGTGGTCAGTAGCTCAGGAGCACCACAGGGGACTGTACTCTCACCATTCCTTTTCACTCTGTACACCTCAGATTTCCAGTACAAAACAGACTCCTGTCAATATTCAGATGACTCTGCAGTGGTCGGGTGGATCAGAGATGGACAAGAAGCTGAGTACAGGGAACTGGTGGACCGCTTTGTGGCATGGTGTGGAAACAATCATCTCATCTTGAATGTGAACAAAACAAAGGAGATAATTGTAGATTTCAGGAGAATCAGGAACAGATCCAACCCTATTTCCATCATGGGAGAAGAAGTGGAGGTGGTGGAGAAGTATAAATACCTTGGGGTTCACCTGGACAATAGACTGGACTGGAAATGCAACAGTGAAGCGTCTACAAGAAGGAACAGAGCAGACTGTACTTCTTGAGGAAGCTGAAGTCCTTCAACATTTGCAGCAAGATGCTGCATATCTTCTATAAGTCTGTTGTAGAGAGCGCTGTCTCTTCTGCCATCATCTGCTGGGGGAGCAGCACCAGAGCAAGTGACTTAAAAAAGATCAACAAGCTCATAAAAAAGGCTGGCTCAGTTCTGGGGACTCCTCTAGAACCTTTGGAGATGATTGTTCAAAGAAGGATTCTTCATAAAATGAAGAACATTATAGACAACCCTCAGCATCCTCTTCATCAGACTGTCATACAACAACAGACTGTCATAAACAACAGACTGTCATACAACAACAAACTGTCATACAACAACAGACTATCATACAACAACAGACTGTCATACAACAACAGACTGTCATACAACAACAGACTGTCATACAACAAAGTGTCTTCAGTCAGAGGCTTCTTCAGATCTGTTGTAGGACAGACCGCTACAAGAGATCCTTTCTGCCCACAGCCATCAGCATTTAGAACAACTCTTTAATGAAACCAGGATGATGAGTTACAACAACATATGATTTCCCTCTAGGATTACTAAAGTATTTTTGAATTGAATTGAATTGAATCAACAACTGCCTGCACTAAGCTGCTAAACTGGTGAGCGAGTAACACAGAGGTGTCTCCTTCTCCTCCACCTGTGCGCGTTTTCTGCCGAGGCAGGAGGAGATTAACAGAAACACTGCAGGCTGCTGTGTTTAGACTGAACTAATGTTTCATAGTAAAAATGGGGGGGTCCAAATGGAAGTTTTTTTAATGTGTGTGTGTGTGGGGGGGGGGCACTTCCCCTTCACATGTAATGGTTGTGATGCCTGTGGTTCAAGAGTTGGTTTTTTTTATCTCCCACCACCAGAAATGGAAGGCGATAATGTTTTGGCCCATGTCCATGGCATGTATGTTTGTCTCTACCGTTAGCTAAATATCTCATGAACCACTGGTCAGATTTTAGTGCAACTCACAGAAAGTAATCATCAGTTGGACAACTACAGCTGATTAACTTTTGGATTCAACCCAGTTCAAGACGGCTGCCACAGACAACTGAATTTCGAAAATATAAAAATGACTCAGTCAGTTTTACAGATATTGAGCTGAAACTTGAGGCTTGGAATGGGACAGAAGGACATACTGATGGGTACGATACTGTGAATAAAAATAGCACCGTTTCACAGTGCCAAAGTCCATGCTCAATAATCCAGGTATAAAATCCAACAATGTTCAGTCAGCTCATCTGGACAGTTTCTTTTTTTGTGCTGAGACGATTCGCCCTCCATCCAGAATGTTAAATGGACTTTACTTATGTAAAACCTTTCTATCTTATTTCAAGACACTCAAAGCTCTTTACAACAATCTGTGCCTCATTGACCCATTCATACAGCTCTATACTACAAACTGGATTCCAAAAAAGTTGGGACACTAAACAAATTGTGAATAAAAACTGAATGCAATGATGTGGAGGTCCCAACATCTAATATTTTATTCAGAATAGAACACAAATCACAGATCAAAAGTTTAAACTGAGAGAATGTATCATTTTAAGGGAAAAATCTGTTGTCTCCAAATGTCATGGCGTCAACAAATCCCAAAAAAGTTGGGACAAGTCCATTTTTACCACTGTGTGGCATCCCCCTTCTTCTTACAACACTCAACAGACGTCTGGGGACAGAGGAGACCAGTTTCTCAAGTTTAGAAATAGAAATGCTCTCCCATTCATGTCTAATACAGGCCTGTAACTGTTCAATCGTCTTGGGCCTTCTTTGTCGCACCTTCCTCTTTATGATGCGCCAAATGTTCTCTATAGGTGAAAGATCTGGACTGCAGGCTGGCCATTTCAGTACCCGGATCCTTCTCCTACGTAGCCATGATGTTGTGATTGCTGCAGAATGTGGTCTGGCATTATCAGGGTCTTCCTGGGTTGTCTGGTACACATCAGATCAGGACAAGACAGGGTAGACCCAACGACGATGCGACAATGAACAAGACTAACAGACAGACTATATACCCAGACAAGACAGGATGTGATTACAAACAGCTGGCACGAGACAAGGGTGAAATTGCTCCCGCCAATCTCTAGCTAACTTTGCCAACTTTACAAACTGACTTCAACTGTATATATATATATATATATATATATATATATGTCTATATAGATAATACATATATGGATATATATATACAGAACAGGTGGAAGAAGGAAGTCCGTGCGCTCTGAACCGTGGAAGCTGAGCCACGAGTTTAGCTAATGTTTGGCTAACGAGCTGGTCAGAGAGCTGCTTCGGCTAGTGAGGCCTGCGGAGACCCGGTCCGCCGCCGTTTGGACCTCCGAGCCGCTGAAACCGAGCCGTTAACGGCGGAGACCCGGTCCGCCGCTGTTTGGACCTGCGAGCTGCTGAAACCAAGCAGTTTACGTAGGAGACCCGGTCCGCCGCTGTTTGGACCTGCAAGCCGCTGAAACTGAGCAGTTTACGTCGGAGACCCGGTCCGCTGTCGATTGGGCCTGCGAGCC